AAATAAAACCAGTATCTAATGGGGCTTGATCATTTCAGATGAGGAATCAGAAAACTTTTGGGAAAACATAAATTCTTGTTTTTAACATATTTTTGTTCTTCACATAATTTTAAGAAGACAAAATCAACATCTGTAACCTGGGGATAGAGCTAAGTAAAAGAGTATACAGGTGAATTCTTAGGATTTTTTTCCCTTTGGATTATTTTGATGATTACATGAATCACTAACACACTTAGAACAACAGTACTTGGAAAATGGCCCAATAAATGTTAATTATCACCAGCAGTAGTAATTCTTTTCATAACAAAGAAGCTATGAATATAATGTTAACTTACCTCTTAGGAATAATACATCTGAGAAGTCCAAAATTTAAAAACCACTGAGCAGTTAATATACATGTGATGAAATCTATGCATTTTTCTCATAGGACCTTCAGGCCTTCTCTGCAAGTTTCTACTCCTGCCCTACAAACAGGACCAATGTACGTGAGCATCTAGTTTCTAGGCATGTAACAGCTTAGAAAAGGAGAAAGTGATAGTTTCATCAGGCATATCAATAGTAGCAGTCAATAGCTGACAGAATTATGAAGAAAAGTAAATACATACTACCCCAAAATAAAGCAGTCTGTTTTTATAGTGTATAGTGCAAATATGAGGATAGTACGCAAATTATGTTAATAAAATTCCCACTAAAATTAGCCCAAATTCTGGTTGTAAATAAATTCAAATTGGCCTAATTTAAGCAGAAAAAATGTATTAGAAGGCTATCTGGTAGCTCACAAGATGGTCAGGAAAGCTGAAATAAACCAGGCTCATAAAAAGATTAGAACTAGGGGTGGATTACATAAAATGTTTGGATTCTTCTGTTGCTTTTGGACTAATTTCTCAATTGCCCCCACACCTCTGGGTTACCACAAAGTCCTGGTTGGCACTGTGTGTGTTGCCAAGGACAGAAGACTAGTATCTGACCCCTTCTGTTTCTGTAGTGGGAGGGCACTGCCCCTGCAAGGTTCTGGCAGTGGTGGATTACCTCAAATAGAAAGGATGCTTGGATGCTGGCTTGCAAAAAACTTAAGCTGTGTGCTGTAAACCCAAATCTAAAAAAAAAAAAAAGGAGATTTTATGTATAATAAAAAGTTGAGAAAGGTTTTTATAAAAAATTTGTCAAAATTAAAAGCATATTCTTTGACCCAGAAACTCCACTTAAAGGAATTCATTGTCTAAATAAATTTGCACATTAGGAAGTCATAAATGCAAGGATATTCATTGCAACTTTATTTGTAAAAGCAAAAGACTAAAAACCTCAATGTCTGTAACTTGGCCTGCATTATATTTACAGTTTATGTGTACAACAGAAAACTATCCCTTTAAAAAATTGGTAGATCCTTATGTACCAATATTGAATAAGCTCCAAGATACATTAAATGAAAAAAAAAAAGATGCAAAGAGATTTATGTGGAAGAAAAGGGGCTGGAGGTTACAATGGAGATTATATATGTCATGTACTTGTGCGTACATAAAGTATCCCTGGAAGAACATAAGTGAGTAGTAGTAATTGTTTCTGGGACAAGTAGGATGCCGGGATAGGAGGGAGACAGTTTTTTTCCCTTTTGTGGATTGTATTGTGCTCCCCCAAATGTTAAAGTCCTAACCCCTGGCACCTCAGAATATGATCTTATTTGGAAATAGGGCCTTTATAGAGGTAATCAAGTTAAAATGAAGTCATTAGGATGGGCATTAATCGAATATGACTGGTGTCCTTACCAGAGGAAGAATTTGGACAGAGACAGACATGGGCAGAGGGAAGGCCATGTGAAGATGGAGGATTATAATGATGTGTGTACCAAGTAAGGACTGCTTGGGGCTGCCAGAAGCTAGGGGAGAGGCCTGGAACATCCTTCCCTAGTGCCTTTGGAGGAAGCATGGTCCTGATGACAACTTGATCTTGGACTTCTGGCCTCCAGAACTGTGAGACAATAAATTTTTATTCTAAATTTTGTTACAGCCACATTAGAAATTTAATACATCCCCCATGGTCATTTTTTTTTTTTCATCTGAGCTGGGCTGTATACTTTAAGAGTTTCAAAGAATTAAAAAATGTATAATTGTTTAGATGCAAAACTGCTGGTGAGCAGTTAATCAATTACCTCATTTTATAATTGGTATTCTGAAATATTTTTAGCATATTAAAGAGACTTAGTGTAATCCATACCCATATACTCAAATGCAGCTAAGACAGATACAACTGACGCTCCCTTTGTGTTCCCCTGATCCCAGTCCCTTTCCTCCAAAGGTAACCAGTACCCCAAATTTGTTACTTAATATAACTACATGTGTTTGTATTTTTGTTATATATGTATCCTATAAATGCTAGTGTTACTGGGTTGCATGTTTTTTTTTTTAACTTTTATTAATTGAATCCTGCTACTGCTGTTCCTACTTAGCACTTTAGGAGTTTTATCCAAGTTGATACATGCAGTCTATAGCACATTGCATCCACTCTCTTGATGGACATTTAGGGCTCCATTTATTCCTTATTAGAGCAGTGCTGCAGCCTGTTTTCTTATGCAGTGTGTTTCTCTATCACAGTAATTTTCATATTTTTCATTATGCCTACAATAAATAGTATATATTTCCCATCAGGACCTGCAAACATTTATTTCTGCTAATACCAGAAACAAAAATTTCATGAAAAATACTTACAAACTCCTTTACTTTGCTAGATTTTGCTAAACTTCTCCTAACTGCTGTGGTGATTTACACTTCCACCATTAGGGAATAAGATTTATCGCTTCATTATACTTTACAAAAAGTTCATTTCACTATACAAAAAAGTTCACTCACCAACTTTTTTGATATTTTCAGACTTCATTTCTGCCAATCTGATGAATATGAAACTAGTATTTCATTGTGACTGTAGTTTATGTTCCTGATTACTAGTGAGACTGAACACCTTCCTGCTTTGTACATTTGGCTTTTTGTATTTTTTTTCCCCAATTTTCAAGTTATTTTTTTCTTAATCTGTCCTTTATATATTCTAGATACTAATCTCCCAGTCTGGAACTTGACTTTTCACTTTGTTTATGTCATCTTTTAAAAGCAATAAATTGAGGAATCCGGTATAGTTTTAGAAGGAAAATTATTCATTATGTAGGATCACTTAAAATATAGTTAATTCTAGCCCTAGCATTCTAGTACAATTTGCTACAATGTATTTTTAAATAATCTGAACTAGCTCTCAAACAATCTTTAAAAAAGACAGTGATGTCAGCAGAACCCACAAGTCCCATTGGTTTTTCCCAACATTACTATTTTGTACCACCAGTTACCTACAATTTTGTAATAGCTAACAGGAGATAATTCATACCTTTAAGTCTGAAACAGGAAGCTGTGGCATGATTTGATTGTTTTAATAGGAAAACTCAGATAGTAGAAACAGGAAGTTATTGCAGTAATCTGGACAACAGTAAGTAGATAGAGATTTGGACTAAACTATGCTAGTGGGCATATGAGAGCCTACTACCTCAGAGAAGCACATCTCTGTAAGAAGACATGCCCAAGAACCATTGATTTAATACTTAGAAATATCCATCAATAGAATGGATAAACTTGTTTGAATTAACTAGAGCTGTGTGCATCAACTTGAGTTATCTGTTAGACAACTAAGTAGAGATGTCATATATACAGGTGGATATGAGTGGAGTTTGGGACAGTTGTAAAAGCTGGAGATAGGAATTTGGCAGCTATTAGGATATAGTTGTGGTAAAGCCACAAGACTGGATAAAATTACCAAGGGAGTAAGTATAAATAGATCTCAGAGGACTGAGCCCTGCTAAACTGTCATTTAGGGGAAAGGAGGAACTAGTAAAAGAAACTGAGAAGGCAGTGATTTTCTGGAAGTGAAGTGTTTTCCAAAAGAGAAAGCAATCCTATCAAATGCTGCTAGGTAAGAAGGATGAGAACTTGATTTAACAACATGGAAGTCACTGATGGCTTTGGCAAGAATTTCACTGGAATGGTGGAGCTAGAGTTGAAGGCCTGACTAGAATGCTTTAGGAGAAAATGGGTAGAGGAAAAGTGAAACTCTTCAAACTCCCACCACCACCTCCACTTACCTAATTCTTGTGCCCATGTATTCTTAATCTTTTCTCCTGTTAATCTGTCTAAGGCCAACCCCTTCCACTGAGCACTTGATTCTACCTTCACTAAACTATTACAAAATGTAGACCTGAGGAATCGCCCCTCCCTCTCCTACATTATCAGTTACTTTCTACTGCGCCAGTCCCCTCAGCATACAAACATGCTGATACCTTTCCCATCTTAACAAAGAAATTCTTTCCTGATCCAATTTACCCCCTTCAGCTACTGCCCACATTTTCTTCCCTGTAAAAGAACTGCCAATTTTTCTTCTGTTTCATGTTGGAGTGCAGGCATGGAATGAGCAGTTGGATTTAATCAAATTGTGGTTAAACCACGTGAGTATGATGAAGCGATAGAGGAACAAGGGAGTAAGATTCTATGCAAGTGTGTAATGTAAGCTGCTTAAGGACAAAGGAGTACTTGAGAGACTGAGAGATGTGGAAGGGTGGTGGCATCAGTGGACACAAGTTCCCCATGGGGGTCAGAGAATTACTGGAGATGGGCTACTCTAGTGAGCAAGCTGGAAGGAGGGGTGAGTGGTTGGAGAGGGGGCTGTTTTAAGATCATAGAAGAGTCTGAGCTATTGGTAATGACAAGCTTGAGGTTATGATCAAAGTTGAACCTGAGGCAGAAGAGAAGAAGAAAACATCATTGAAAAGCCTTTCAAGTTCAGCTGATGAACTTTAAGGCCAAGATACTGCAAGAATCATCTTTATGGGCATTGAAATCACCAAGAAATATAATTAGTATTGTAGAGAATGAGACAGGAACTAAGTTCTTGAAGGAACAAGTTCTTAAAGGGGGAGCTGAGGAGACTGTATGCTAGATAACTGCAACAAGAAATACCCAGGGAGCAGATGGCACGGTCTGATGACATGTTTTTAATGGAGGGAGCAGAGAATAAATGGGAAGGAGCAATGAGGAAAAGCCTGTCCCAACCCAGGCCCGGGTGTAGAGAGGGCTGCAGGGGAAGCACTGTCACTCTCAAATTCTGGTAAGTGAAGTTCAGGTGTCTGGGTGTTTCCACAAATACACTTTTCTTAAACCATAGTCTCATTCATCAGAGAGACATGAATTTTTAAATTTTTCTATTTTGTAAGAAAAAGCCATGAAACAATAAGTAGAGCTCAGCTTCATGTTTGAAAGATATGGGGAGTGGCAAAAAGACCATTTTAAAGGAAACAACCATTATTTTGTGTTGTTGCCATGGCAGATTTTAGGCCTAGTATTGCCAGATATTGATTTTTTTCAGCAGAAGCTGGAACTGGGGATTTTGTGTGAAAAAAGACTTACAGTATTAGCTTTTTACTCTTAAAAAATATTGTGCAGGCCAAATAAAACATGTCAGACTGCATTTAGAAATTGTCACAATTTTATGAACTCAGCTTTTTAAAAACAGAAAGTACCACGATGTGTATTTGTAAATTCAAGTGTCAAAATAGATGATCATCAAACTGGCTGCCTTGTTGGGTAACCTATAGCAGTTCAGTTAAGTCTGCAGGTGTAAAGAGTGATTATCTACAAGCTGATCACCAAGCAGCACTTAAATTACCTGCCAATTTATCAGTTTCTTAGTTGATTATTACTCAAACAAATCTTATTTCACCCCATATTTTTTTTTTACTTTCAATCCTAACATTGATAATGGTTATTTCCTTTGAAGAGAAACATACTTAACCTTTTATGGCCTGGAATTTTTATAAAAAGTAGACCTCATACAATAAAGAAAGCTTCTAATAGAGGGAAACTTGAAGGTTCTTTAAGCCTTAAAAACAAACAAAAAACCAGTTAATTCCTAAACAAAATTTAACATAAAATATTTAATGTTTCTTCAAAATCTTCAGTGTCCTTTAGTCATAATGATGACCTAGAAAATTTTTTTGTATTGCAGTGGAAGTCTGAAGATGTTTTTCAGTTCTATTTGACCTTTAGCAGGGCAGCAAACTCAAGACTTAGTTTCCTTATCTGTAAAATCGAGATTAAAAATGCATGCCCTATCTACTTCATTAGGTATCTGTTAGGATCAAACAAGAATGTGAAAAGCTTACAACTTGACTTTGTATGGGTGCTTTTATTACATTCTATTAAAGAACAACCTGACTAAAGCTAGAGTGTCTATTTAGAGGAAATACTTTTGAAGGTATTCAGAACGCAGGAAATTGCTTGAGTATTGAGTAGATATATAATCTATTTCCAAAAGCAACTTTCCTATTGAAAGATGACACTGCTGATGGTATCGTGTGAAGTAGTGGCTGAAAAGTATACTCTCCCCAGTTCTGTAAGCATGTAGCTGTACTTCGGTTAAAAATCCTGTTCATTCAGGTGACACTTGATACCCACACTCTTTCTTTGGACTTGCCATAACCTTCCCTTCCCTTCTCACCCTGTCCTTTTTTTTTTCATCAAAATTAACAGTTATCACTTGAGATTTATATTTAATGTAATGACTCTTTTCTAGCAACATTTAATACATACTCAAAAGCACAGTTCTTAATTGAGAAACACAGATGCCTCATTTTCACAGGAATTTTTTTTAAGTCCAGTGATGAAGACTGTAAGGCAGCTTCCTCAAAGAAAGCTAACATTGATGAATCCCGTGCAGCCAGTGTGTGGAATATGAGGTGATAAAATCTTTATTACATCCACCTTGACTGTTCTGTAACTTAGTCTGAGTCTTTAGAATAGTTACTCCTGTTTATTAATCATACGGTTGTTATACAGCCATGGAAGGAAAAAGCTGAACATCAAAATCATCAACAATATACCTGAAAGACAAAATACAGTAAAATAAAACAGTATTCTAAGGAAGTTCATAATCAGTAATTGTAATTTAAGATTGTATACCTAGAAATTTGGAAAACTATGTTTAAAAGAATTAGCTACATCAAATTCTACATGAAACGTAGATATTTTAAAATCTAATATTCTCATATTTTTCTTCAACATAAATCTTTAAAAATAATATGTACTTGGTAAAAACAGTGGGATCTAAATAATGAACTCAAAAGATTTTGGAGTCCTGGTTCTGGCTCCACTAGAAATGACACCCTTCTGTCCTGCCATGCCCCAGAGGTGTACCCCAGAATAAAGCAGCTCAAAGCACTCCTCAGTTTTCCTTTGGAGTGCTCAAATAAAAATGTTAGATTACATTCTCTCTTCCCATTTTTTCCTATCAATCTCCAGCATTAAAAGCATTTAGAGCTCCATCAAGCAAAATACCTAAAACAAAATTACAGTCAATGCCGAAACTTTAAATCTTAAAGAAATCACATATTAGTGAATTTTTATTTTTGAGGTCACACCAGACAAATCTAGCATGTAGCTATTGGTTAATTATTGTATGGGAAACAGGGGTAGAGGACACTCAACCACAGGACTGAAAATCAGTCTTGAAAGGGGAGCCTGCAATGGTTAGAGTTTTTATCTTAATGTATTTAGGTTTAAAGCACTAAATCAGTTTAAACTCAGATTAAGAGTGAATTTTTGTTACATAAAGATTTGACATTTTACTCCTGTTTACTAACAACAGGAAACCTTAAGGTTTGACTAGTATTTGGATAGCTTAGCATATTTTTGAAGGATTTTATTTTGTAGCCAAAGACTTTAAAAGAAATATCAGAAGCAATCTGTATGTATATTAACTGACCCACAAAATTTGACATTTTCTTTATAAAGTCAGAGCTAGACATTACATTTAAAACTTTTTCCAAAAATGGAACTGCGGTTTCACAGAAGCAAATAGAACCTGTTCATTTTTATTGTATGAAATGTACAAACTACAGAATTAATTCTAGGGTTCACTCCTACAGTCACATTTCTAACATTTTTAATTTGGGTGAGATGGCAGGGATCGTTAGAACCAATTATCTCTGCTATGATGAGAACCAAGGAAGAACATGGGCTGGCTTCCAAGAATAGTTTGCTCCCTGCTTGTCCAGAAGAGAAAAGGATAGCTGTCTCAGGATTACTCTTCTCTATGTCACTCAGTGGCTTTAAGAGTATTTTGTTTGGTTTGATTTGCCGTCTCTTACTTAGATTTTTGAATGGCTCTTATAAAAATGTAATTTCTTTTCCCATCCTTCTTAGAATTTAATTGTGACCTTATTTCATTTGATGCCATTTTTTCCTCAATGGGAATGTAACTTCAATGTGACAAAATTCAATGGCAAGCTAGAATTCAACATTTTAAAAAACTGTCATTCACATGTCTTTTATCCACCTCTACTGAAGAGTTTTTGTATTGTTTCTCACCCATAAACTCTTAAAGAAGTACAGAACATGCCTTTTTAAACCAAAAACTATAACAGAAATTTTATGTTGAGTCTATTTAGACAGCTAGATCCTTGGGCCAACAAGGAAATAATCTTTGTGTATTTTTAACAAGCTAAGTTAGGGCCAAATATAATTGTGAAAAAGTTTGATCTCAACTTCAATTTTTAAAAGATTCCTTGAATAAGAAGAAAGAAATAGAAGTATACTTGCTTTTTGTTTAAGATTTTTTTGGGGGTAAGTGGTTCTTTCAAATGTTTTGGTAATGGCCGCAAGTAATAATTGCCTCCCTGTTTGGACTGCACTAACGCTAAGAGGATGTAGTCTGTCTCCCTACCCCACTACTCTCTAGTCTGTTTTACTTTCTTAAGGGACGGAAATGATTGTTCCTTTATTTACATATTATTACTTTTTCCGAGTATGTTCTTCCAGGAAGAAGTTATTAAATGATTTATATTTAATCATTTAACTGTGTCATAGTGTCAGGGGTCTGCTGTTAAAATTGTAGTTGGAGCACATTAACAAATATATAATGTTAATAATATATGTTGATTTCATATGAAACATATGAAGAGAATTTTTTCCATATAAAAACTATCAGTAGACCTGTCCAATTAATGACCTTTTTAACTTCTACATGAACTTCAGTGACCTTTTTAACTTCTTAAGAATCATGACTAGAGAAAATTTGTCTTTAAAGAAACTACTGGAAAACACTAGCAATCTGTAGAACTGAGAAAAAGCTACCATTATTAGCATTTTAAAATACAGGTTTTTTCTGATATTCATTTTTAGGCCAATAGATATTATTACTGAGTATAATAGCCACTAAAAATGAAATAAAGGAATGGAAGATGAATGTGAGGAGTAAAATGGGATGGCTATTCGAACCTGTTGTGCCAGTGGTCCCTTCTGTATGTACTTTATTTTTTTCTAACAGAAATGAGCAACAAGAAACAAAATGCTAACTGTAGATAAAAAGAAGGATGAACTAACAGAGGCCAGTCATCCTCATATTCACTTATAGTTATGAATCATAATCAGGCTTAAAACTGATGACTAAAATCAAGGAATGCTGGTAACTTATATAAAGAAATATATATTAAGATTACAGTTATTTTATACCTTTTTTGTGTTATTTGACCCATCAAATAGAGGAGTTTTATATATCTGATCTAGAAATAACAGGAATGCAACTAATGGGTAATTTTAATACTTCAGTATTCTATAGTGAATACAGCAGTATATATACACAGGTATACATTGTTTCATGAGATGCTCCTCTGCAAAATGAGTCAAAAAAACTAAATAATATTTTACCTGGAGCTCACAAATTTGAAAAATCAAATTCCTTTAGGAAAAAATAAATTATTTTTAATGAAAGTAATCACACCTCACATTTGCCATTATATCTGAGGATTTCTTAAAGTGGTATCATACCCGAACTGACTACCCTTAAGTAGATCATTTTATTTCTTTGAAGATAAAAATAGTTTTAGAGGATATGCCACAAAATAAATTGTTATTTCAGGTATGTTAACCTCCTTTTTCATTCTTTTTGTACCTAGTCTGGCTTTGGAAATAGACATGTTATAGTGATATTCTGCACCATTTCTTAAAACATCCTAATCTTTTAATCATATTAAATAAAAATATGCTTACCTAAAGAAGGAGCCAGCCAATAAACTATAAAAAATTGAAAGAATGCTTCATCAAAACACTTGAAATGTAGTGAGAGTGCCAAAGCTGGGTTAAATACAGCTCCTGTTAGACTTCCTCCTGTAATACATTTTAAGCAGAGTGATACCAAACCATATTTCTTATATTTCCTTGCAACTAGAAATAAAGCAGTTACTAAATATGACTTGTTGTAGGTATTTAAGTATTCTTACTCTATAATCTTCCTCTGCAGAACTACCTAGCATGTTATAGAGTATAAAAACAGATAATAAATTAAAATATGTCCCCATCCCAAAAAGGACAAAGGCCATTAATAGTTTTGATCCATTGCTTTTCCCATGTTTTATAAAATGCATTGAAAACTAATCTGCTCTATTATTCCTACAGCTTTATAAAACAAGAGATTTGGCTTCCTTTTAACATTCATCAATTTAAATGAATGAATAATAAAAATAAAATGACAACACATTTAAAATGGATACAATACCCCACATACCTCCTGAGCATAAGCATGCCTTTGTGTTGAAAGCAAAAAGTAAACATAGTATGGAGGTTGTAGCCATGGCAATTAGACAACACAAAGAAATAAAAGGCATCCAGATTGACTACGAAGAAATCAAACTGTCCCTGTTTGCAGATGACATGATACTGTACATAAAAAACCCTAAAGAATCCACTCCAAAACTACTAGATCTAATATCTGAATTCAGCAAAGTTGCAGGATGCAAAATTAATACACAGAAATCTGTGATATTCCTATACACTAACAATGAACTAGCAGAAAGAGAAATCAGGAAAACAATTCCATTCACAGTTGCATCAAAAAGAATAAAATACTCAGGAATAAACCTAACCAAGGAAGTTAAAGACTGATACTCTGAAAACTACAAGACACTGATGAGAGAAATTAAAGAAGATACCAATAAATGGAAACACATCCCATTCTCATGGATAGGAAGAATTAATATTGTCAAAATGACCATCTATAGATTCAATGCAATTCCTATCAAAATACCAACAGCATTCTTCAACGAACTAGAGAAAATTGTTCTAAAATTCATAGGGAATGACAAAAGACCCTGAATAGCCAAAGCAATCCTGAGAAGGAAGAATAAAGCTGGGGGGATTATGCTCCCCAACTTCAAGCTCTACTACAAAGCCACAGTAAGCAAGACAATTTGGTACTGGCACAAGAACAGACCCATAGACCAATGGAACAGACTAGGGAGCCTATATATAAACCCAACCACATATGGTCAATTAATATACGATAAAGGAGCCATGAACATACAATGGGGGAAATAACAGCCTCTTCAACAGTTGGTGTTGGCAAAACTGGACAGCTACATGTAAGAGAATGAAACTGAACTATTGTTTAACCCCATACACAAAAGTAAACTCGAAATGGATCAAAGACCTGAATGTAAGTCATAAAACCATAAAACTCTTAGAAAAAAACATAGGCAAACGTCTCCTGAATGTAAGCATGAGCAACTTCTTCCTGAACACATCTCCTCGAGCAAGGGAAACAAAAGCAAAAATGAACTCATGGGACTACATCAAACTAAAAAGTTTCTGTATAGCAAAGGACACCATGAACAGAACAAAAAGGCATCCTACAGTATGGAAGAATATATTTGTAAATGACATATCTGACAAGGGGTTAACATCCAAAATATATAAACTCACACACCTCAACACCCAAAACGCAATAATCTGATTAAAAAATGGGCAGAGGCAAAGAAGAAATTCAGATGGCCAACAGACACATGAAAAGATGCTCTACATCACTAATCATGACGGAAATGCAAATTAAAACCACAATGAGATACCACCTCACACCAATAAGGATGGCCACTATCTAAAAGACTAAGAACAAATGCTGGTGAGGATGCGGAGAAAGGGGAACCCTCCTACACTGCTGGTGGGAATGTAAGCTAGTGCAACCATTGTGGAAAGCAATATGGAGGTTCCTCAAAAAACTGAAAAAAAAATACCATTTGATCCAGGAATCCCACTCCTTGGAATTTACCCAAAGAATACAACTTCTCATACTCAAAAAAACATATGCACCCCTATGTTTATCGCAGCACTTTTTACAATCACCAATAAATGGAGGCAACCTAAGTGTCCATCAGTAGATGAATGGATAAAGAGGTGGTACATATACACAATGGATACTATTTAGCCATAAGAAAGAAACAAATCCTACCATTTGCAACAATATGGATGGAGCTGGAGGATATTATGCTCAGTGAAATAAGCCAGGCAGAGAAAGGCAAATGCCAAGTGGTTTCCCTTATTTATGGAGTATAACAACAAAGCAAAACTAAAGGAACAAAATAGCAGACTCAGAAACTCCAAGAAGGGACTAGTGGTTACCAAAGGGGAGGGGTGTGGGAGGGCAGGTGGGGACAGAGGGAGAAGGGGATTGAGGGGTATTATGTTTAGTACACATGGTGTGGGGGGATCACGGAGAAAACTGTAGCACAGAAGAGGCAAATAGTGAATGTGGCATCTTACTACACTGATAGACAGTGACTGCATTTGAGGTATGGTTGGGGACTTGATAATATGGATAAATGTAGTAACCACGTTGTTTTTTCATGTGAAACCTTCATAAGAGTGTATATCAATAATACCTTAATAAAAAATTTTAAAAAAAAGGAAAGCAAAAAGTAAAATGGACCAAGCATTATCATTGACTACATTTTTACTTGTCAACAGAGCCCTGAGTAAGTGATGGTGAATGGTATGTGAATTATAGCTCAATAAAGTGGTTACAACAATTTTTTAAAATAAAAAGATAAGTGATTGTGAGTAGTCATGAAATCTAAGTGCACATTATAACTGTTGACTATGTTTCAGGATTCATGGTCCAGCTCTGCACCCGGCATCTCTTGGACATGGGGCCTAGAAGTTCACAGTCTGTCCACATGGCAGGGTAGGTTGTAGTGCCTGTCCAAAAGTACTCACCTGCTCATTGGCTCAACTTTTCAAAACACATACAAGGAATATCCTTGAGAATAGTGACATTTCTGGGGGTTTTTCCATGTGAAAGCTTGGGCACATGTTTCTATCTCTGACTCAGCCACAGAGACAGATTTCTAGATTTTCACAAATTCTTAACTGACATATGCCACTATGGTATTTTAACTGTCTTAATAAATTGCAGTGTGGGAAGCAAATTCTCTGACAGAATGACACTAATTAAAATCACATACCCACAGACCAGTGGAACAGAATAGAGAGTCCAGATATTAGCCCAAACATATATGGTTAATTAATATATGATAAAGGAGCCATGGACATACAGTGGGGAATCAACAGCCTCTTCAACAGCTGGTGTTGGCAAAACTGAACAGCTACATGTAAGAGAATGAAACTGGATCATTGTCTAACCCCATACACAAAAGTAAATTCAAAATGGATCAATGACCTGAATGTAAGTCATGAAACCATAAAACTCTTAGAAAAAACAGGCAAAAATCTCTTGGACATAAACATGAGCGACTTCTTCATGAACACATCTCCCCAGGCAAGGGAAACAAAAGCAAAAATGAACAAGTGGGACTATATCAAGCTGAAAAGCTTCTGTACAGCAAAGGACACCACCAATAGAACAAAAAGACATCCTACAGTATGGGAGAATATATTCATAAATGACATATCTGATACAGGGTTGATATCCAAAATATATAAAGAGCTCACACACCTCAACAAACAAAAAGCAAATAATCCAATTAAAAAATGGGCAGAGAATCTGAACAGACAGTTCTCCAAAGAAGAAATTCAGTTGGCCAACAGGCAGATGAAAAGATGCTCCACATCACTAATCATCATAAAAATGCAAATTAAAACCACAATGAGATATCACCTCACACCAATAAGGATGGCCACCATTCAAAAGACAGACAACAAATGTTGGTGAGGATGTGGAGAAAGAGGAACCCTCCTACCCTGCTGGTGGGAATGTAAATTAGTTCAACCATTGTGGAAAGCAGTATGGAGGTTCCTCAAAAAACTCAAAATAGAAATCCATTTGACTCAGGAATTCTACTACTAGGAATTTACCGTAAGAGTGCAGCAGCCCAGTTTGAAAAAGACATATGCACTCCTGTGTTTATCGCAGCACTATTTACAATAGCCAAGAAATGGAAGCAACCTAAGTGTCCATCAGTAGATGAATGGATAAAGAATATGTGGTACATATACACAATGGAATATTATTCAGTCATAAGAAGAAAACAAATCCTACCATTTGCAACAATTTGGATGGAGCTAGAGGGTATTATGCTCAGTGAAATAAGCCAGGTGGAGAAAGACAAACACCAAATGATTTCACTCATATGTGGAGTATAAGAAAGAAAAACTGAAGGCACAAAATAGCAGCAGACTCACAGAACCCAATAATGGACTAACAGTTACCAAAGGGAAAGGGCTTGGGGAGGATGGGTGGGCAGGGAGGTATAAGGGGGAAAAAATGGGTCATTAGGATTAGCAGACATAATGGAGGGGGGCACGGGGAGGGCTGTACAACACAGAGAAGACAAGTAATGATTCTATAGCATCTTACTATGCTGATGGACTGACTGTAATGCGGTATGGGGGGGGACTTGATGATGGGCGGAGTCTAGTAAACATAATGTTGCTCATGTAATTGTAGATTAATGATACCTATAAAAAAAAAGTAAAAGAAAAAAATCACATAAGACTTGTATATAGGCCAGAATGTTAACTAGTTTATAGTGATAGCTAGCGCTTCCTAGTGACCAGAATATTTGTGCCAGGTACTATGCTAAGAACTTAAATACATTATGCCTCACAATAGCCTTAAGAGATACATACTATTATTCTCCATTTTAATGGTGAGGAAGTTGAAGCTTTTATTAACTATCTCTCCTAAAGAAACAGTCTAACTCCAAATCTGTACTCTTTACTACTATATTATGTTGGCATAATAAAAAACATTTTGGACCTTTGCTTGAAGCCATTTTTCACTTGTAAATTAGCACATATTTCATATAGTCATTGTATTAAAAGTGAGCATAGTAGAAGGTTATTATTTGTCCAAAAATTCCCCTCTTGGACAAATAATCTTACCTATACCCTTCATGACTCAGAAAGACACCAAAAACTCCTAAGTGAAGTAGTGAGATGAAATAAAAATACTATAATTTCTCCAGACAATTTATTAAGCTTATTTTGAAATAGACATAAAATATAGACTATCCAGGTATATATTATTTCTTTGTGTTTTCTTTAAGTGAATAGAATATTTGTTCATTCACTCTAAAAATACTTAGTATTATTTGTAACAGGTGACACCATGCTAAGTCTTGATTATACCTTATGTAACAAATAAAACAATTTAGTTTCTGTACTCAAAGTTTATCATCTGGTGAAGAAGACAGGCATTACATCAGAAAACAAATGTATAATTAAAAAATCTACAAAGGAAATGAACGGGGTGCCGTAATAAAGACAACTTAATTCTATGTTTAAAATAACATATTTTTCAGTATCTAATTAATTAAAGAATAAATGCAGTTGTCTCTTACTCTGTTCACTGAACATAACTCTCCCCAAACCTAAAGTAAGGAAGATATGCTTGAAATTTGTATTAATAGTTTTATAGCTCTAATATATTAATAAATCACACAGCTTTTCTTTTTTTTAAACTTTATTTGGGAAGCCAATAAATACGTGATAAATGGTAATGCCATCAGTGGCCTCCATCTGCACATCGAAGTGCAGGGTGCTGAGTCAAACACAATCAGAAACCTGGTCACTGGCTCTTCAAGGAGTTTGTGGCTATGCTGAAGGACAGTACTGTTCTTTAATCCTAAAATACATCATCAGTTATTTTGAGATTACCTGTTTTGGTGACTTCCGAGTACCCTCAAAGTGCAAGTGATTAAAGAAATCTCCCAGCATGTACTAACAATATCTGAGAAGTTAAAACAGCTTATCAAAGTAATTTGTAATGGTGCCTGACTTAGCCGGCCCTTCCCCTGCCTTTCCTTCCCTATCCATTTTTAAATCCTTCCTACAAAAGCTTCACCTTTGCTGATAAGAGACATTCAGCTAGACCCAAGACAGTTCATTCTATTTGGAATAACTGTTCTAAAGTTACAACTTGTATCCATAGAAAATAATGGGGAGTGACATGGTGTAAGGGCAGCATTTCCCAAAGTATGTTGTCTTCTGCTACCTGCCCCTAGACAAAAGGATTCTGTAAGTGTGAAAAACTTTGACATCCTCCTCTTGGAGTTTCACAATATACAGAAGCATAGTAAATGTTCTGTGAAGTTTTAAAATTAGGAAATCTAATCCTAGATAAGATCTAATCCAATGTTTGCCAAATTTATTTGGCAACAGAATCCTTTTGTAACAAAAAAACCTTAATTATGGTAATATATATATAACAAAATAAGCCATTTTTACCATTTTAAGTGTATTATTTGGTGGCATTAATTATGTTCACAATGTTCAGTCGTCATCATTATTTTCAAAACTTTTCCATCATCCCAAACAGAAAGTGTATCCATTGAAGAGTAAGTTCCTATTCCTTCCTCCTTCCAGCTCCTGGTAACTTCTTTTATACTATGTGTCTATGAATTCACCCATGCTAGATTTTTCATACAAGTGAAATCTCAGACCATTTGTCCCTTTGTGTCTGGCTTACTTCACTTAGAATGTTCTCAAGGTTTATCCATGTTGTTGTATATATCAGAACTTCATTCATTTTCATGGCTAAATAATATTCAATCCTATGAATATGTTTTTGTTACTTTTGAGGAGAACACTATAGAAAGTTTGATTTAGTGTTGGTTTGAACCATGGTTCTATCACATTCAAGCTGTGTGGCCTTGGACAATTTCATTTTTCTGAGCCTCACTTGATTTAAAATGGGAAGAATATATTCATCAGTGGGTTGTTGCAAGGATTAACTAAGATAACTCAGATAAATTTCCTATAGGCTCAGCATATTGCCCAGAGTATATTCTTATCTCTCTTACACTTATCTCCCTTACAATCATAACAGATTATCCATTTCTGTAACAGTAATTAACAATTGCCTATTAGGCTCTGTCCCTGAAAAGAGTCTCTAGCACCATCCAATATTGTACCCACTACCACTAGCCACATGTGGCTACTGTGACTGAGTAACTGAATAGTTAATTTTAATTTAAATCTAACCACAGCTGGCTAGTGGCTACCTAACTGGCCCAACATAAGTCTAGACTAGAGCAGTTGTTCTCAGCTCTGGTTCCTTGGGATCAACAGGGAAACTTCAAAACATACCATAGCTTAGGCCCTTTCCCAGAGCAATTAAATCCTAATCTTTGCACCTAGACATAGGTATGTTTAAAATGTTCCCCAGGTGATTCCAATGCAGAAAGAATGCTGAGAACCACTGCTCTAGTAATCCCTTTACCCTCTCCTCCTCTCCCATCGTACCCTCATTTCAACAATTTCAATGTCTATGCAGCAAGGGGAAGGAAAAGAGAGTTGTGTTTTGGATACCTTAAATTGGAATTTTATGGGTTCTTTCTGATAACATTCCTTATATTTATCTATAACTTCAAATATTGTCTGTCTTATTTCTCTTCTCTCAAAATCTTTGTCACTTATAAAACAGGTATTGGCTAATATATACAGTATTATTGGTGGAATCATAAATATGAATTAAAAGAACAAAAACAAAAATACCAACTTCAAGATAAATAAGAGAGGGAAGAGGGACATATGTACCAAAAGATTCAAACTGTATATAAACATTAATTTTAAACATCTTTTGAATTTTTCTTTTAATAAGATCAAAGCTAAACTGTGACATAATTTTTTTGCAAGAAATGATTCTGTATATATAGGGGATATTTCTGCTTTAGCCAAGATCTAAAACTTTAATAAATAAGCAACTGCATAGCTATATATGCATATATCAATCAAATATGCATATATTCTTCCCTCTCTCCTATACCATTTATTTCCATCTGTGTCCACACAAAAGTGATAGTAGATCTAAAGAAAGAAAAATGGATTAGAAAGTCGTTTTTACCTCAGTAAGTCAAGCATGTGTTTAGGAGTCCTTGCCTTGAGGTTTGTTTCTATTCCTAATTTCATTTTTAATGGGCAAAAGGTAGACTCTTCCTACTAGTTTCCTTTTATTAGAAACTAGTAGTTTTCCTTTTATTTCTACCTCCAAAGTATTTTGTAATTCAGATATAATGTCAGTGAAGATATTTTATTGTAATCATTTAAAATGACACATTTCATCATTAAGCTTTGCCTTTTGGATTGCCCTGTTTCACTTAATTTTATCCACTGCATCTGAGATCTGTCAGAGTAAACAAATGGTTTGCAAGAAATCAACAGATTTCTCTAGAGTTGTATGTTTTTAAAAAGGATCTTTAATTTCAAGCAAATTTTAATTTTAAAACACATCTTCCTTGACAGGCCACTTAAGAGTTCATTTATAACTCAAGATGAATTATCACAGAAATAAAAAAAGACTAATTTTTTAGAAAAAGAATTAAGGAATAGAACTACAGAATTTCTACTCCTCCCTCTTCCTACTGACCAATCATGTAGCGTGTGCTTTAAATTGGAAGAACTTTTTAAACTCAGGATCATTTTTCAGTGAAAGTGTCAGAAAGGATCTATACCAGGTTGGCATGAGGAAAGAAGTCGCTGATAAGTTATCTTTCTACCATTAAGACCATCCCTTTGTAAGATATTTGAACCCTTGGCAATACCTCACAAGATCTCAGTTTCAGCACAGAAACTGGCTCCTTTCTCTGGGAGTTCAAAAAAGCAGTGCAGGATCTATATACATTGACCCTATTGGTTAAGTAATGGGCTGAAAAATGTGGAATACCGAAGATACCAAGATTGACATCACAGAGGTGTAGGGGCTTCAAATGTATCTCGGTTAAGAACTTAGCCTCAAGTCACAGAGGCTCCGAAGCGTCAAGTGTTTTGTGGGAGTAACAAACCTGCATAGACCAAAAAGGTGATGAGTGCTGCCAGCAGGTGGATACGAAGTTTGGTTCGGACCTCCTGGAAGTGCAGCAAAGCGCTGTGGAAGATAAAGGAGCAGATGGCCTCTGTGATGACCGCTTTGGGTAAGTCGACTTGAATGGGATTCCTGCAAGCGAAGCTCCTCTCGCTGACGTGATACTTGGTCAGCCCCAGGCTCCAAAGGGCGCCTATGCAGTACCTGCTGCACAGAGCACCAATCAGTTGAGCCAATAGCCTCATCGCACCGACCTCGGGGGTCATTCCCCCCACCATCATCTGCATCATCACGCCACACGGGTTGCTGGAGGTGCCCACCAGAGTCAGGCCATGCACCAACGAGAAGAAGTAGATTAACGTCAGCGGCCAGGTGGGGTGCGCGGGTTCCTGCTCGCTCAGCAGTTGCAGCTCATGCGTGCAGCAGCAGAGCTGGAAGGTGGCCAGAAACTCCAAGACGAAGGCGTGAACCATGGACTTGTGCACCTGCTGCCGGGTGACCACGCGGGCCAGCCCCATGAACAGCACGAGCGACAGCATCAGCCCCAGCGAGGTGCAGGTGTCCTGCACCCCGGGCCAGAAGTCCCGCAGCGCGGTCATGGTTCGCTCACAGCCAGACTAGGTTTGCTGCTTGGCTGCGCGAGAGGCGGTCTACGGGCCGGAGTCCAGAGTCCGCAACCCCGCCCCTCCCCACGCCCCTCGGGGCGGGCCGACTCCAGACGAGTTGGAGGCCCTGGGGGCGTCACACTGGAGGACTCCGCCCCGCTCTCCCGGGCCGTGCGCTTGGGTGTGGGTACCAGAGCCCGGGGAGGCCGTTAGGTCGGGGGCGGCGGGGGAAGACCGGCTAGGACGCTGGCTTTCGCGCGACAGCCAGCAGGAGCTGGACACGCGCACGCCCTCGCTGCCTCCCGCAGGGACTGGAAGGCGGTGCTGTGGGCAGGAAGCGGAGGGCAGCCGCGCACCCGGAGGCCATTGCGCACGCGCGTGGCGGCCCAGGCGCCCTTGCGGGCAGCTTGCTGAGGGCCCGGGACTTCGGGCGCGGCGGGGCCCAGTTCCCCTCGCTCGGCGCCGGAAGGCGCGCGCGCAGTGCCCTTTGACAGTAGCGTTAAAGAGAATACCTTCAGGGTTTTCCTTCCCCGCTCCTAGAACGCCCTGTAGAACTATAGAACCGTCAAGCTAGGAAGACCCCTAAAGATCATCTCGGCCAACCACCTCCTTTTATCAATGGAGCGACTGAGGAGATGGGAGGCGACGGAGGTACAGCGCAGAGACAGGGGTGGTTTAGCGGGAGTAGACTTCGGAGTCGAGTGAACCAGGGTTTGACCTGTGAAGAAGGGCATGGCACTGGGTCTCCCTGAGCCTTAGTTTTCTTCACCCACCTCAAGAGTTCATCGTTTTTTTAAAAAAAGCATGAAAGTCACGTAGCGGGAGACGCTGGCATCTAAGAAGTGTTGAGTAAGCGCTGGTTTAAAGTTGAAAGAGCAGGTGTCCGAGTTTCGGCTTCAGCGCTCTTACCACCATACCCCACTCCCAACAGCTCGCCGATCTGGGGCGGCCCACTGCGGGTGCAGCTGGGAAAGAATGGCTGGGATTCTCAGACCTCGCCCCTAGCAGGGTTCTGTGCGCATGGAGTAGGTGTCACGGTTGTGTGTGTGTGTGTGAGTGTGTGCGTGGCCGGGGCAGGGGTGGGGGTGGGTGCTTTCTAAATGCCTCAGCACTCTCCTACCTACCCTGGGCTCTTGACCACAAGTCCACATGTCTTAGAGTGCAGTGTAGGGAGAGAGAAACAAAAGTGAGAGGAATAATTCACCTCAGCTTCACTTGATAGAGCACTTAGTGGAAGGTGTGCTTGCTAGTTCTCCTCAGCTTTTCTCCCCAGTCTGTTTGTTAGTCTTTTTAAAACTAATGAAAGTTCTCTTTTTAACTGCAAGTTTTCTGTGGTATCGATAGACATTGTTTCAACTGAAAAATAAATTCTTTCACAAAACACACAAACTATGTAGAGAAGTGCAGTCTTTTCTTCTTTTCCTGTGTTGGTTCCTGAATAGGAAGAATATAGAGTAAAACTATTTTTTAGACACTGCTCTTGAAAAAGGTTGCTTTGATTTATCTCCTTTTCTCCCTCCCTCTTTCCTTCCTTTTTTCTTTATTTTAATTTTTTTATATTTAGGTACATAGAATAAAATGTACAATTTTTAGTGTACAACTTGATGCATTTTGGCATGTGTATACACTTGTAACTATACACAGATCAAGAGAACATTCTGATAATTTTTTTCTCCTGCTACTGTTTTACCCATCCTTCCACCCCCTCCCCTGTGGCAACCAGCAGTCTGTTCTCTGTTTATGGGCCTGTTTCTGTTTTGTTTGTTCATTTGCTTTGTTTTTTTAGATTGCATTTATAAGTGAAATCATATGGTATTTATATTTATCAGACTTATTTCACTTAGCATAATATCCTCTAGGTCCATCCACGTTGTTACAAATGGCACAATTTCATTTTTTTTATGACTGAGTAATATTCTATTGTATATATGTAGCACATCTTTCTTACCCATTCATCTTTTAATGGACATTTAGCTTGCTTCCATATTTTTGGTTATTGTAAATAATGCTGTGATAAACACAGGCGTGCATATATCTTTTCAAATTAGTGATCTTGTTTTCTTCCAGTAAATTACCAGAAGTAGAATTTCTGGGTCATAAGGTATTTCTGTTTTGTTTTTTGAGGTACTTTGATACTGCTTTCCCTAGTGGTTGTACCAATTTATAATCCCACCTGCAGTGCACAACGGTTCCCTTTTCTCCACACTTGTTATTTCTTGTCTTTTGGATAGTAGCCATTCTGACTGGTGTGAATATCTCATTGTGGTTTTAATTTGCATTTCCCTGATGATTAGTGATGTTGAGTATCTTTTCATGTGTCTGTTGGCCATCTGTCTGTATTTTTAGGAAAAATTTCTCTTCAGGTCCTCTGCCCATTTTTTAATCAGATTGGTTTTTTTGGTGGTAAGTTATCTGAGTTTTTAAATATATTTTGGCTATTAGCCCCTATTGGATATGTCATTTATAAAAATACTCTCCCATTCAGTAGATTGCCTTTTTGTTTGTTGGATTCCTTTGCTGGGCAGAAGCTTTCTAGTTTGATGAAGTCCCACTTGTTTTTGCTTTTGTTTCCCTTGCCTGGGGTGACAGATCCAGAAAATAATTACTAGTGCTGATGTTCAGGAGTTCACTACCTGTGTTTTCTTCTAGGATTTTTATGGTTTCAGGTCTTATATTTAGGTCTTTAGTGCATTTTGAGTTAATTTTTTTGTATGGCATAAGACAGTGATCCAAATTCGTTTTTTCTCATGTAGCTGTCCAGTTTTCCCAACACCATTTGTTGAAGGACTGTCTTTTCCCTGCTGTATATTCTTGCCTCCTTTGTCATATATTAATTGAGCAATTAGGTATAGGCTTATTTCTTGGATCTTTATTGTGTTCCATTGATGTATGTATCTGTTCTTTTGCCAGTGCTATACTGTTTTGATAACTGTACTTTGTAGTATAGTTTCAAATCAGGGAGCATGATATTCCCAGCCTTGTTCTCCTTTCTCAAGATTGCTTTGGCTATTGGGGTCTTTTGTGGTTTCATACAAATTTTAGGATTATTTGTTCTAGTTCTGTAATAAATGCCACTGGTGTTTTGATAGAGATTGCACTGAATCTGTAGTTGATTTGATTTGATTCAAAGAGATTGTGTTGGGCATTATGGCCCCTTTAACAATATTAATTCTTCCTATCCATGAGCATGGAATAGCTTTCTATTTATTTTGTGTCATCAGTTTCTTTCATCAGTGTCTTATAGTTCTCAGAGTGCAGAAGTTTTACCTCCTTGGTTAAAGTTATTCCTAGGTATTCTATTCTTTTTGATGCAATTGTAAATAATATTGATATTTTAATTTCTCTTTCTGCTAGTTCATTATTTATATATAGAAACTCAGTACCTTTCTGTGTATTGATTTTATATGCTAGGACTTTACTGAATTAATTTATGAATTCTAATAGTTTTTTGGTGGAGTCTTTAGGGTTTTCTAAAAATTAAGTATCATGTCATCTGCAAATAGTGACAATTTTACCTTTTCCTTGCCAATTTAGATGCCTTTTATTTCTTTTTCTTGTGTGATTACTATGGCTAGCATTTCCAGTACTGCGTTGCATAAAAGTGGTGAGAGTGAGTGTGTTGTGGTGTTCTTAATCTAAGAGGAAAAGCTTTATATTTTTCACCATTCAGTATGATGTTAGCTGTGGGTTTGTCATATATGGCCTTTATTATTTTTAAATGTGTTCCCTCTATACCCACTTTGTTGAGAGCTTTTATCATGAATGGATGTTGAATTTTGTCAAATCCTTTTGCAGCATCTAACAAGATGATATATGGCTTTTATCCTTCCTTTTTGTTAATGTGGTATATTGCATTGATTGATTTGTGGGCATGAACCATCCTTGCATGCCAGAATAAATCCCACTTGGTCAGGGGATGATTCTTTTATTATATGTTTGGATTAGTTTTACTAATATTTTGTTGGGGATTTCTTGCATCTATGTTCTTGAGGGATATTAGTATGTAATTTGCTTTTGTGTAGTGTTTTGTCTGGTTTTGGTGTCAAGGTGATGCTAGATTCATAGAATGAATTTTGAAGCCTGCCTTCCTCTTCAGTTTTATGGAATAATTTGAGAAGGATAGGTATTAACTCTTCTTTAAATGTTTGGTAGAATTCTCCTGTGAAGCCATCTGGTCCTTGTGGAATTTTGTTTGTTGGAAGTTTTTTGATACCAGTTCAATTTTGTTACTAGTAATTGGTCTGTTCAGATTTTCTATTTTTTCCTGGTTCATTCTTGGGAGATTGCATGTTTTAGGAATATACTCATTGCTTTTAGGTTGTCCAATTTGTTCAAATATAATTTTTCATAGTAATCTCTTGCAACTGTTTTCATTTCTGTGGTGTCAGTTGTAACTTTTCCTGATTCACTTCTGATTTTATTTAGTTGCATCCTCTCTTTTTCTTGCTGAGTATAGCTAAAGGCTTATCAATTTTGTTTAGCTTTTAAAGAACCAGTTCTTACTTTCATTGATCCTTTGTACCATTTTTTTTTTGGTCTCTATTTCATTTATTTTTGCTCTGATCTTTATTAAATCCTTCCTTCTATTAACTTTGGAAGTTATTTATTCTTCTTTTTCTAGTTCCTTTAGTTGTAGTGTTAGAATTGTCTATTTGAGATTGTTCTTGTTGTTGTAAGGTAGTCCTGTAACACTATAAATTTCTCTCTTAGAACTGCTTTTGCTGCATCCCAAAAATTTTGAATTGTTTATATTTTCATTATTCTCTAAATATTTTTTATTTCCTCTTTGATTCATGGTTGACCCATTGGTTGTTTAGTAGCATGCTGTTTAGCCTCCTTATGTTTGTATTTTTTCCAGTTTTTTTCTTATAATTGATTTCTGGTTTTATACTGTTGCAGTCCGAAATGAGGTTTGGTATAATTTCATTCTTTTAAAAATGTATTAGGACTTCTGCTGTGGCCTTACATGTGATCTATCCTGGAGAATGTTTTGTGTGCACTTGAATAACTATTTCTGCTGTTTGGGGATGTAATGTTCTGTATATACCTATTAAGTATATTTGGTTTAATGTGCATTCAAAGGTATTGTTTCCTTACTGACTCATTGTCTGGATGATCTATCCATTGATGTAACTGGAGTGTTGAAGTCCCCTACTGTTACTGTATTACTATCAATTTCAACCTTTTATATCTGTTAATATTTGCTTTATGTATTTAGATGTTCATCTGTTGGATATATAGGTATTTACAATTGTTATATCTTGTTGTTGGATTGTGCCCTTAATTGTTATATAATGTTATTTGTTTCTTGCTACAGTCTTTGTTTTAAAGTCTATTTTGTTGGTTACAAGTACTGCTACCCTAGCTTTTTTTTTTCTGTTTGCCTGTCATGTCTTTTTCCATCCCTTCAGGTTCAGTGTGTGTGTGTCCTTAGGTCTGAGGTGAGTCTCTTGTAGGCAGCATATTGATGAGTCTTATTTTTTTATCCATTCAGTCACCCTGTCTTTTGAACCCTGTCTTTTGTTTGGAGCATTTTCTTAAATATTTTCTCATTTTTGTTATTCTTTGATACTTTCTTCTCTTGTTCTCTTCCCTTGGGTGTGATGACTTTCTTTAATGTTATGGCGGAATTTTTTTCTACTTATTTTTTTGTGTCTATCATGGGTTTTTGGTTTGTGGTTACCATGTGGTTTATATATAACATCTTGCATACATATCAGGCAGTGTTAAGTTGATGGTCACTTAAATTTGAATGCCTTCTAACAACATTACATTTTAACTCCCCTTCTCTACATTTTATGTGTATGATGTCTTTAAACACCTTTTTGTTTAGTGATTCCATTAACTAATTTTTAGAAGTAGTTGATTTTATCTTTTAACCTTCACATTAGCTTTAGAATGTTTGATCTACTACTTTTGCTCTCACATTTTACCAGTGATTTTTTTTCTTTTCATTCTTTTCTTGCTTCTAGTTATGGCCTTTTCTTTTCCTCTAAAAGATGTT